CTATCAGCTGCTTTTCATCCTTTGCTATGGTAACTAGCCCAGGAAGAGAAGCAGCCCTGGCTTGGATGACCATTAATTTGTACAGTGTGTTCCTTCCTTCTTTGTCCTTCTCTGCTATCTCTTGACATGTCTCAGTTTCATGCTGCTACATGGGTCATTCTTCTCTGACCATAGCAGAGGTGGTATTCAGCAGGTTCTGACCAGTTCTGGAGAACAGCTAGCAGAAATTTTGAGTAGTTCAGAGAACTGGCAAAGATCACCTCTGACTGGCCCTGCCCCCATCTATTCTCTGTCTCCCGAATCCCAGCTGGTCAGCTGGGTCTTCTTTTGTTGCCCTGCACAGGAGAACAGAGATGGAAAGCAGGTTTGTGGGGTGGGGAGGGAATGGAGATTTTGTAATATCCTTCCTCTGCCACGCCCACCAAGCCACACCCACAGAACTGGTAGTAAAAAAATTTGAATCCCACCACCAGACCATAGCCTTGACTCTGAAAAGAAGTACAGACACAACAGCCATAAATGACCAGGTGCAGTAGAAGTGAGACGAAGCAATGGAAGTCATAGGTCTAACCATACATGATGGTTCACATGAGAAGATCTTTGTGTTTTTCTGAAATCATTTCTGAATTCCCAATATCTGTAACTGCACGATCAGTTATATCAGGAGGTAGTGAGGTGATAGAGCATGGCTACTACCTACAAATTGCATGGTACAGATTAGACTCAAATTTGTCCTTCATAATCTAGAGCGGGCTACTCCAGATTATGCCGGGCACCATTTGGCACAATTTTTTTAGCTGAGTCTAATCCAGGGGTGTCAAACTCACCTCGTCCCAGCGACATCATATGACATATCAGGACTTTTTCCCCCTTCGCTAAACCAGGCGGTGATGCATCCAGCCCACCAGCTGGGAGTTTGACAGCCCTGGTCTAATCCGTTCATTGTGTTACACCACTGAACACATTCATTTGGGAGTAAGAAACAGAACCAGTTTGATCTAGTCGTGAAGACACCAGGCTAGAAATCAGGAAACCATTAATTTTAGTTCGACCTTACGCATGGAAAGCCAGCTGGGTGACTTTGGGCCAAGGAGATTGTGAGTTCTAGTCCTGCCATAGGCATGAAAGCCAGACGGGTAACCTGGGACCAGTCATTCTCTCTTAGTTCAACCCACTCATAGGGTTGCTGTTATGGGGAATATAAGAGGAAGTGTTGGATATGTTCACCGTCTTGAGTAATTTGTACAAAGGCGGAATTTAAATAAAATAATAAAATAACACAAGTTGTGAGTAACACAAGTTGTAAGTTGCAACTGAATCAATGTGAACAAGCAAAATGCAACTTTGAAAAATCCATCCTATATTTATTTACTTAAGCAAATTTATAAGGTCACCCAACTCATTCTCAGTGACTCCAGGAGGCTTAAAGATAAAAAGCCTGTGTAAAATATAGATAGATAGATAGATAGATAGATAGATAGATAGATAGATAGATAGATAGATAGAT